CTGGATTCCACACACGCCATTCCTGTAAGGACAACTTTCCCATCTAAAAGACAATGACCACCCACTAGGCAACGCAGCATTAGTATCCATCCAACTGTCTGAAGATGTTACAGGGAATGATTTCAATGAATTAATTGAAAAGTATCTAAAATACTGGCAAACCACAAGCTCAACATTAGGAAACAAAACACATTAAAACAGGGTTATTACCTAATATAGGCTCAACATGGCTCATCATGGAGTGTGCATCCCTTTGTTTTAATTTCTTAAAAAGTGCCTCGCTTTCTAAAATCGAAACTACATCTCTGTACCAGCTCCCATTAAATCCCACAAGATCCTATGTTATCAATGTATCTGTGAAACAGCACAGTTTTCCACAAAATGTCCTGTCATGTGTAGGTCGTGTATGCAGGGCTGTTGTGGCAGTCAGACCACCTGCATTCCCTGCTGCTGAGCAGTATCCTGGAGTTGCTGCATGACAGAGTCCTCCCCAGCTTGTGACAAACCTCCAGTGAGAACGTACAACATGTCCTCTTCAGGGCCGTCGGTGGGCTCCTCAGTCCTCTGCTCCTCCAGCAGCACCCCCCTCAGTTCTACCTGCAGCTCTGTGGGAGCCGCCCCCGGGGATTCTTCCTCTAGCTCCTGACCTTCAGTCTGGCCACCGTCCTCATCCTCGTCCCCTTGCCTGTTCTGTCTTTCCCTCATTAGCTGCTCTGTCAGTTCCACGCTCTCGTAGCGAATCAGCTGCAGCCGCAGGAAGCCGTCCTCGTGCTCCTTGTACCTGACAGCGTGATGAAAAGACCATCGGTGCTGCAACACACATCTCAAATTCAGCATTACTGGATTGATTGATTCTTCAGTGCGGGACTAACCTGAACCTGGGGTGTCCAGAGGGCCATTTGAATTGGTGCTTTTTGTGCAGATGAACAGTTAGGTTGTTGCCCCTGGTGAAGCACTGGTCGCACACGTGGCACTTGTAGCGAGCAACAAAACTCCCCTGATCACAAAAAAGGAAACATTAGAGAACTATTAAATAATCAAAACCCCCTCTCTGAGTGCAAATTAAGAATCATTTAGGAGACTGCCCCTCTCACCTCGTGTTCTCTTTTGTGGTGAATCTTCATGGTGCCGAGGGTCCGAGAGGTGAAATCGCAGCTGGGGACGTCGCAGTGGAACGCCGGATCGCTGCTGTGGGTATCCAGGTGTTTGCGCAAGTCGATCAAATTCTTACACCTGCAAATCCAAAATCAAGTGTGGGAGCATTAAGACAACAACAATGCGAGTGCGCGTTCGATAGATTAATCTTGTTTTGCGTTTTGTTTTGCGTTTAGCTTCAGAGGACGTGATACCTGTATTCGCAGTATTCACAACTGTATGGCTTCTCGTTACTGTGGCGGAACTTAATATGGTTGCGCAGCGAAGAGGGCGATGGACAAGTCATGTCACACAGTGGGCATTTGTAGTGGCTCACTGTACCAACAAGAAAAAGACAATCCAGTGACGAGATGAAATCATCTAATAATACTGCAGAGCTGTTTGTTGTCAACAGGATTGCCTCACTCACTTGGACACCAAAGTGTATCACATGGTCACTTGATCAAAAATAGACATCATAAAAACCTACTTTTATTCATGCTCGTGTCAAGCCAAGAAATCCTAGTGAAATAATTTATTTTAGAACGTGACACTGTTGCTATAACAACGAATATCTATCACAGAGATTTCTTTGCAATGCGAGTTGCACACAGGGATGTGGGCCTCCGGAGAGTTGAGGCTTACTGATGTTTGCAGATGGTTATTGGTACACCTGTGCAGAGGCTCAATCCTGTGTGTGTGTGTGTGGAGAGGTATGGATTTAAGGCAACACCAGTGGGGGGAAAAAAGAACAACAAACAAAACCTGCAAACCTGTGAAGGACAATTTTGGACCACATGTTCAACTGGATGAAACAGCTCGTATATCATATAAATTATGATACCAATCTATCAGTTCTGAAGTGTCATTTTGTATGATAAGATAAGATATACCTTT